CCATCATCTATGCAGAGGGGTCCTTTCCCCAGTAATCTCTAGCTCTTTTCGCTTCTGCCAAGGAAAGGTCTGCCATTGTTTAGAAGTGAAGTTTGTTTTTATTTTAGCGTATTACTCAGAAGGGATCCCTAGCGAGGAGGCCATGCTGTCTTTATACTGTGAGTTGACTGGATACACCCTTCCTCTCCCAAACTGGACATACTTTTTGGCATTGATATTTTTCCGCGTGGTCGTGAATATTCAGGTGAGCTGTTGAGTCACAAACATTCCCAGGCATCCCCTGGGTTTCTATCTAGATGCTAGACAACTTTTGCACCTTTGGGGACGGAACAGAAAGCAGAGTCCTCATAGCGGCCAAACCAAACCAAAGCCAACAAAAGCAGAGCGAGAGCAATATTTCAGACCCAATAAGCCACAACCAGTCTGGGCATGCATGTGTACTATCTGAACCGTGAAAACGAAATGAACCACCGAAAGGCACATGGCGACCGACGCGAGCGAAAACATCGAAAAGGTCAAAACTGAACCAGTGAACCGAGATAAGCGCAACCTCTAATTATTATTGACACCTACTGCTGTACGCAAGCTAAGCTGAGCAATATCCAGGCTAACCTGAGCGCTTTTCAGACCACCGGAGTGAACGTCTGCGGGTCCAGCACTCCGGTTACCCTGAATAACGCTCAGTAAGGTTAGCTCTCAATAGTGATCACGGCTGTCGCTTATTTCGGTGATTTGGTGTCGCCCGACTTTTGCTCATTTCAGTCGTTTTGGCGGTTTTGTTTTGGTCCTTTCAGACCGGAGGTTTCCCTCGTTTGTCTTGATGGTGGTTTTGTTTCGTTGTCTCGGGTTGTTGTACATGCCGTCTCTCTTATGTGTCAAGTTTGTCTAGGAGTAGCCCGGCGAAGAACGGCGGGTAGAAGAAGGGCGGGCTAGCGCTCCGAGGAATTAATTATGTAACGTTTAAGTCGTTTTGTGTTGGGATCAACCGTTTCAACCGCAACCAGTTTGAGTTGGTACGGTTGACGTTTCTCAATAGGACACTTTTCCAACCGTTTTCGGTTGAAACACGGTAACTCCTCGGAGTAGTCCTCGTACGCGTGCCAGCCGCAACAATCACGCGAAACAATCACGCAAATGCTTTTTCAACCGTTTCAACCTGGTCGAGGCCGGTTAAAACAGTTGATCAACCAAACCAACTGAAAACGGATTTTCACCAATAGAACTCGAAAAAAACCCAACCAACCAGACACGATTCATCCCAATAAAACACGACTTTAATTATACGACCACCTAAACCACAAGACCACGATTTTAAAAATATTAAAAAGTTTCATTTCCTTTATTTCAGACCGTATTTGCACAGTTGTCTGCTGGTGGTGTTGACTTACCTTTTTCGTTTAAAGGCGTGGATGACTTGTTGGAGCCTCTTGTACATCACGCCTGTAAAGTTGTTGGACTCAAGTAACTTGGTCAACTGCGTTTGTGCCTCGCTCAAAAGATTTTATGTGTACCGCTTAGAAACGTTACATCAATAAAACTAATAGCGTCGACAGATCGCTTTGTTTTTGTTGTTACGACTTTGACTTAATAGTATACGCTTCCAAGTTAAATGGCTGCTCACAATCATAACGAGATATTCAATTCAAAGATTCCTCAATAGTTTTAAAGGAGAATAAATGCAACAGAACATTCATCTTAGCCTTGGCCTTCCTCATCATCCTCCAAGAAACTCATTCTCTTTGTCTTTCAAGATGGCGGATATGACGAGGAAAGACCGGCCTTTCCTCGCTATGGCCGCCATCCTGGAAAGATCGGGGGAACGCGGTTGCGTCCTCTACCTCACCTTTTTTCCTACTTCTCTTACAGCTACTTTTCTTCTTCGTAGCATCGTCCTACTTCTCTTTCCGTTCCACCCATAATTTCTTTTCTGGGGGCTCCCGATCAAATTTCTAAGAAGAACCNCGGTCCGCGGACCCCCATTACGGACCGGGTCCGCGGACTACCTATGGACCGGTCCACGGACTACCCCTTGGGACCCCTTCTTCGGACCACCCCCCAATATAGAATAAAAATAATAAATAAAGATTTCATTTACGGGTTGTCTAATAGATTACTCGTGACGGCGAAATTTCGAACGTTACCTTGTGCAAATGTAACAGACCTGGATTCAGGCTCGAGCGTAGTTTATATCATTACACTTTGCCATTTCCTTTGCTGTGGTCATAAAGTATATGAAAGACGCGTACTGGAAAGCCTCCGGGAACCCTCGAAATTTTTGCTCTTTCCCCTCTGCCATTTTGTTCAGCCCATTCTCCCGTGGGTTCGTGAACTCGTTTCAGGCTTCACAATTTGCTCAGCGGAATAACAGATACAAACAAGAGTAAGCGGCCTACAAATATATCTTCCATAGCCAGATAGGGCCACGAATGGAAGGTAAGAACTTTCCTTCTTTTTACCATCGGCATCTCCTAACGCTGAAAACAGCTTTTAGGCATTTTGTTTTGGGCGGGAGAGGCGGGGTGGGGTGCATGTTAAAAACCCAAGTCTGTTACATTTGCACAGTGTAACACTCGAAAAATCACGGACACGAGTCTGTAACATATTTATTTATTAAATTTCGTCGAGTTCTTATTTCTTTTGGGGCGCAGGTCTTTTTAAATGACAATCACGGCTTATTGAAACGACAAGAATTAGAGAGTTTGTGTAAGAGCGTGACGTTAGGACGTGACATGACGTCAAACTGCCAAATGACGTCAATTTAAAAAGGAGGAATTTGCAAATTCTGTCGGACATGGAGGAGCAAAGCAGTGAAGCCTTAAAACTCCAGGAATACTGGAAGCAGAGCTTGGTAGAGTACACCTCTGATAGCTCGAAACTTCACGAATATCTGAAGCAAAACTTGGTAGATTTTCCAACAGGAGACGAGGAACTGAAAATGTTTAAATTCAGGTATGAAATGAAGTGAACCGGGTCTGGTCGGGTCACTTGATTTGACCGATTGTTTCGCTTGGATGGTTATATTGACCACACAGCATAGCGAAGTTGGGAGATATTTAACTCATTTTCGTTTTGGTAGGTTGTGAAGAGGCAAAATTGGCAAGTGACAAGTGCTCGACCATGTAGCATACATGTAGAACGGTCGTTTCGTGTAGGCGAAGCTAAAGTAGATAATCATACTTGTATAACATCTCTTAGAGCGAACTATTTGAAAAAAGCTCATTGTATTTTAACTACATTTAGAAATGACCCCAATTTGCCTTCTTTTTTAGCGTGAAAGAGTTGATGCAGTAGGTCAAATTAGATGTGTCCGTGACCGAGAATCAATAGTCCTCTTTTTTCATCACCAGATATTGCTTGGTATTTACATCAGTCACAGTTGGCGTGACGTTCAGTGACATGTGCTTAGAATAGACTTTTTAAAGGCCAATACCAATTTGTCTTGTTTAATACGACTGTTAAGCACATTTGGCTACCAATTACTAACAATTCAGTATAACAAGCAGTTTTTCTGGGATGTTGGTATGGGCATAATCCTCCTCAGCCACTCCGCGGCAGAATTAAAAAAAAAAAATCCACAAGAATGTCTTGGATCTCTCCGTAGTGTCTCATGTGTCTTAGTTTTCCGAATCATAAGCACTGATAGTGCGTTTGGGAAAACGTTTAAGAAAAAGAAAACATTTTCGATGTCTCACCCAAACGTTTACGCGTGTTTGTAACTCGATAGACTAGTTTCATTAGTTTTTTGTTTCTATTTTCTTTTTGCTAGTTTTGTGTTTCTAT